ATAAGCGATTCAGTTATCGAAGTTAATTCGGTAAACAAAAAAGATTGTAGTTTATTGGCTTTGATTGATACTGGTAGCCCGGTTTCATTTATTCAAGAGTCAACTTATAAAATTCTTTTTGGTCAATCTTCAAAGTTTGAAAAGTCCAAGATTAATGATTTCCGTGCTTTAAATGGTTCTCATATACCTGTAATAGGTTCGGTAGAATTGAACATTTGCTTATCAGTCTTACCTAACGTTTCTACTCAATCGTCCTTTCAAGTATTAAATAATCCAAATTGGTCTACTCATTTGGTACTTGGTAGAGATTTTCTCTCAATGAATAATTTAACTTTAGTTTATAAACCATCAAACGCTCAATTTAAAGAACGTGTAAAATTGTTCAACGAAGTTGCTTCAGCGGACGTGATTGAGGAGGATTTTGACACTCCATTCGCCGAAATTAAAACTGATTTTGGCTCAGAAGTCGATAAGCAGGTGTCTCAAGTAATTCAAAAAGTAAATAATACGGAGACAGAAGAGGTTAAAGATCTTCTACCAGTTACTGTTAATTTGAAAGATAATTCTGTTTATGCGTATGCTCCTAGAAAGTTTGCTTACGCCGAAAGATTGCAAATTCGAGAAATAACCGACGATTTACTTGCGCGCGGCGTGATTAAAGAAAGTTGTTCGCCTTATTGTGCACGTATTGTTCCTGTGCGAAAGCGGAATGGTAAATTGCGTCTTTGCGTGGACCTCCGTCCATTGAACCATAGGGTGGTGAAACAGAAATACCCATTTCCTATTATTGAAGATTGTTTGTCACAACTTGCAGATAAAAATGTTTTAACTCTTTTAGATCTTAAAGAAAGTTTTCATTCCATTCCGATCCACCCGGATCATACCAAGTTTTTCTCTTTCGCCACACCCGACGGACAGTTTGAGTTCGTTAAACTTCCTTTTGGTTATTGTGAAGCTCCATCTGAGTTTCAAAAACGATTATTATTGATATTACAACCGCTTACACGTATGGGTAAAATTTTGGTCTATATAGATGACATTCTAATTCCGACTAAGACAGTGGAAGAAGGCCTGTCTATTTTATTTCAATGTCTTTCGCTATTGAAACAACATGGTTTTGAAGTAAATTATGATAAGTGTCAATTTCTTAAGAAATCGGTTGAATATTTAGGATACGTCATTTCAGAAAAGGGAATCACCCTTAGTAAACGACACGTCGAAGCGATTGAAAAGTTTCCTATACCAAGAAGCGTACACGAAACGCAACGTTTCATTGGATTAATTGGATATTTCAGAAAATTTATTCCATATTTTGCAAAAAAGGCCAAACCACTATATTCATTACTTAAGAAAGATTCAGTTTTTAATTTTGATAATGATTGTTTGCAATCATTTAACGAATTAAAATCTACGCTTATTTCATTACCAATTTTACAATTGTACAATCCGAGTTTGGAGACCGAACTCCATACGGATGCTAGCTCTGTGGTGTTAGCTGCTATTTTGCTTCAAAGACAAGATTCAGGTTTTTTAGCACCTGTGGCATATTACAGTCAAGCGACCAACTCGGCAGAGAGTAGATATCACTCATTTGAGCTTGAAATGTTAGCGGTAGTACGCGCTATAGAAAGGTTTCATATTTACCTATATGGTATAAAATTTACTGTCATTACAGATTGTCATGCAGTAGTCTACGCGATGGACAAAGCTAATTTGAATCCGAGAATTGCTCGATGGACTATTCGTTTGCAAAGTTATGATTTTACAATCAAGCATCGACATGGTAATAAAATGTCTCATGTGGACGCTTTAAGTCGTGCTGTTGCTGCGGTGAATACTCTCCCAACTGAAGTTGAATTGCAGTACAGACAGTTTACCGACTCAAAGATTCAGAGTATTGCGAATTTGTTAGAGAAAGAATCAAATGACAAGTTTGAATTAATACACGGTCTAGTATATAGAAAGTGTTCTGATAATAAATTGCGTTTTTATGTACCGGAAGCTATGGTTCCGAATATATTAAGAGTTTATCACGATGGCAATGCCCATTGTGGCATCGAAAAGACGTTTCAGGGAATTTATAATACTTATTGGTTTCCGTCAATGAGGAGAGCAATTAATAATCATATTGAGAATTGTTTAACTTGTCTTGTTTCGAATACATCAACACATTCTAAGGAAGGTGAACTACAATTAGAAGAAACTCCGAATTTACCTATATCGGTCTTACACATTGATCACTTTGGTCCGATTTTAGAATCCGCTAATGGATTTAAACACATTTTGGTATTGATAGATGCCTTTACACGATTCACATGGCTCTTTCCTGTGCGATCAACAAGTTCGAAAGAAACTATAGAGCATTTAACTTCTATTTTCAATATTTTCGGTAATCCATCTATTTTGGTCTCGGATCGTGGTACTTGTTTTACCTCATTTGAATTTAGTACATTTACACAGAATCGGAATATTAAACACAGATTAGTTGCAGTAGCTGCACCATGGGCTAATGGGCTTGTAGAACGTGTAAATCGTTTCCTTAAAAGCTCTTTACGAAAAATTGTTGAAGATCAAGAATTATGGTCGGATAAAATAGCTGATATACAATATGTTATTAATAATACGTATCACTCGTCTACAAAGTGTTCTCCATCTAAATTGTTACTTGGCTACGAACATCGGAATAGTTTAGATTCTCCATTAGTCACTTTTCTAAATGATGTGGCTAATAATACTCTTTCTTCTGCGGAACTTGTAGAACAAAGAGAAAGAAATCGAGAAATCGCAAAAGAAGCCTCTGATAAAGTAAAAGCTTACAATAAAACTGTTTATGATAAAGGGCATAAAAAGCCAACTCAATATCAGATCAATGATTATGTTTTGGTTCGAGATACCTCGGTTAAACCAGGGGAAAACAAAAAATTAAAACCTACTTATCGTGGTCCTTATCAAATTACTAAAGTTTTGAACAAAAATAGGTACGTGGTACAAGATATCCCTGGATGCACCATCACGCAAAAACCGTATAATTCTATTTTGTCTCCAGATCGACTACGAAAATGGATTAAACATGTTTCTGAATGATATTTCGATATCTTTTCTCTTTTATAAGTTTTTACGTTTGCATTTAAATGTTTAGAGTTACCTTAAGCGATACTGACTATTATCTTTAGTTTTAAGATGGCGCATTTAATTATTAAGTAAAAGTTGTAAAATGTTTTTATTTTTAAATGTTTCTTTAAAATGTATCTTTATGCGATCAGTTGTATTTATGATTTTATTTAAGCGAAGTCCAATGTTTGAGGACAAACATTCTGTCAGTCTGGCCGAGCTGTAAGAAAGCTCCTAGTAAATTTAAACTTCGCGCCTTTCTGTCAGCGATGGCGCTTCGAAGGTTCGCTCCAAGCGCCACCGCAGCCGATGCGCGTGATTGGCTTAGGCCTACGAGACCTCCGATTGGCCGTGACGTCACCGGCGTCACAGCGGCGAGCGCGCGCAACATAGAACTTAGAAGAAGAAGAAGAAGCAGTTGTACGTTGTACGTTTTGTATCTTGCCGGTGGCAAGGGTAACCAGGCTGTAGAATAAAGAAACTTGCTGTTTCAAGCTTACAGAAGTTTTATATTTTAGATGCTAATTCCTACACAACGTCCACAATATTAATTTTGATATCGTAAAACAAAAATATGAATGTAACCTGTCTAATCTCCACTGCCTCCACGGCCCTACGTATTCTCCGTTGAACTTACGCGTTTCTCTCATTTAACATTAAGACTTCATCACCTATTAAAAATTTCCATATTTACTTTTTTATCATAATAAAATTTCGACCTCTGTTTCGTTTTTTCTAGGTTAGCCTTAGCTATAGTTTCGATATCGGAGATATCAGAAAACAAGTTTAACAAGTATTGGTGATATGTATCTGGATGACTTTCCTGTGACGTTCCGGAAGGTATTCGAACTGGTGTACCGAAAACAAGTTCGTACGGACTAAATCCAGTGCCTTCGTGGATCGAAGTGTTGTAAGAAGCTCTGTCAACTAATTCATCCCATTCTTCTTTGCGATTTATTAAACATTTTATATACTCGGCTAGAACATGATGCGATCTCTCTAGTGATCCATTGCTTTGTGGGTGAAAAGCAGTGGTGCGAAGCTGTTGAATATGAAACTTCTTCGTGATGCTGTTCATCAAATAACTTAGAAAGTTGGTACCTTGGTCGGTGTATACTTCGAGGGCATCCGAACTTGCAAATAAAATTGTTGATAAACGCTATTGCTGTGTTTTCAGCTGTTGCATCTGCGAGTGGCACATAGACAGCGTATTTAGTAAGGTCTTGCATGGTAAGCACATACCCATTTCCACGTGCTGTTCTGAGTAAAGGTCCGACTATGTCGAGGGTAACCTTGTCGAAGGCGCGTCCCGGCGTATCTGTAAGTATCATGGATTGCCTTATTTTTCTCCTTACCAATTTTTGTAGCTGGCAGATACATCTTTTTATATAATCTTGAATCTGTGATTTCATATTGTTCCAGGAGAACTGTTGTTTTATACGTAGGTACATCTTCGTGACTTCTTTGTATTCTCCGACTGCTGACTCATGATTCTCTGCGATGATTTGTCTTCTACTGGTGGTGTGATGATGGCTCCTTGACAAACCGATGTAAACACCGGGCGATCGGAGAATGTCTTGCGAAAATAATGCAATATATTTTGCCAGGTAATTAAATATATTTTCTCTATCTTCGTGATACTGAATGTATGTAGATTTAATTCGGTTGCAACATCTAGCAAAGATGTGAAGCATTCTGACAAGATATTTTTATCGAGTTTAATACTTGGCCTTTCTTTTACAGTTAAAGCTATTATATGACGACCTGGGAAAGATGACGATATTACACGTGCTCTTCCTAACATTAAGTTATCTACTGGAGGCAATTTTCCAGCTTTAGCGAGTTCTCGTGCTCTGTTGTCACAAGGTATTTGATTAGTGGTTAGCAAAATGATTAAATTATCGTTGCGATCGGAAAAGTGAATATCCGTTTCTTTAATAATACAAGATGAGTTTTGACTATCTACAAAAATTTCAGGGTCGCTATCAAATGAAGATTCTGAATCAGATATTTGTTCATTACCATTTCGTCCGGCGAGATAAAGTCTTCTTCAGGAGCTCGTGGCTGAAACATCAAAAAGTCCTCGTCGGGCAAACGCAATTTAGCCGTTATAGTTGAACCTTGTGCTTCCTCGGCATCAAGAGAGTCATCTGAGTCTTGAGAGACGTCGCGTGGAATTTCGGTAAGTGCTAATCGTCGAGATCGCAAATTATATCGCGAAGCCTTAACTCGATGCAACCAAGTCAATAGTTGATGATCAGTCACCAGTACAAATGCTCTGCCATACAGATAAGGTTTAAAATAGTTTACGCAGTATACAATTGCCAGCAATTCCTTCTCAATAGTAGAATAATTCCTCTCAGCCGAATTCAGAACTCTTGATGCATATCCTATAGAAAGGTCTTGGCCGATCACACCTTGACTGAGCACTCCTCCAATAGCAAAATCTGAGGCATCTGTCGTAAGTACAAAATCTTACTCGAAGTCCGGATACTGTAGAATCGGTTCCTCACAAAGTAATTTGCGTAATACATCGAAGGCTGCCTGCGTTTCATGCGTCCACTTATATGTTGCTTCTTTTTTCAGGAGATTAGACAGAGGGCTGGCGAGTTTAGAGAACCCTGGAATAAAACGCCTGTAATAACTTGCAAGGCCGAGAAATTGAAGCACATTTTTTTGATTACGTGGTCTTGGAAAGTTTTTGACTGCTTCCAGTTTTTGTGGATCGAGCCTAACACCGTCTTCTCCAATGATGTGCCCAAGGTAAGTAACTTCATGGCGGAGAAACTCACATTTATTCGGCTGAAGCGTCAGATTGGCAGCTCTCAGTCTATTCGTCAATTTATTAATCTTGATCTCGTGTTCTCGTAGTGAGCTAGCATACAACATTATGTCATCCATATATACAAATAGTTCAACGCCCTGAAGACCGGTTAATTCTTGGTCCATTAACCTCTGGAAAGTGGCAGGCGCGTTCTTCAATCCAAATGGCATCCGAGAAAATTGAAAGTGTTTGAATGGAGTTGAAAAAGCTGTCTTGTGAGCATCTATAGGATCCATTGGAATCTGGTGAAATCCGCTTGCAAAGTCAAGCACCGAGAAGTATTTAGCACCTCCAAGCTGGTCAAATATGTCACTGATATTAGGTAGCGGGTAAGCGTCTCCTATCGTTTTCTCATTTAGTTTCCTATATTAATCTATAACCATTCGCCATCGCTTGTTGCCTAACGAATCCAGTTTTTTAGGGACAATCCACACCGGTGAGCAAAAAGGCGATACAGAGGACGTAATTATTTCCTTGGAAACTAATTCTTTAACTTAACGCGTAATTTCATCTCTGTGTACCGGAGAAAATCTATATTGCTTAGTCTGAATAGGTGAGTTATCCGTAATGACTATCTTATGAGAGAACACATGCATTTTATCGAGATACTCATCAGGCACGTAAAATCTATCACTATGTAAATTCACTAGCGCAATTACATGTTCTTTTTCGGGAACGTTTAAGTGTTCTAAGCGCAATAATTGTATAATATTTGATACCCTATCGGAATTATTATTATTATTATTAGAATTAACGTGAGTTATATTTGTTATCCTTTTGCTCTTAATATCATTAGAAGAAAATGGGATTATTTCTGTTACCTTGTTTAAATTATTCTTACAAAAATTTTGAAACGTCTCTGCTACATTCTCTGAATTATTGTTACAAAGATTTTGAATACTTTCCGCATTATTTGTTGAATTATCGTATATACTAAGACTTTGAGATATATTTACTCTATGTTCTCGCTATTATCGCCTTCATATTCCGCTGAAAATTTATTTATTATTTTCAAGCCGGTTACGCTAACGCTCTCGCACACTTTACTTATTTTTACAATATTTATTCCTTCTTTTGTAGATACAGAGTATGAATGTGAAGTAGAAATCAGCCTCGCATGAGGGGAGCTGGTCCCTTGGAGCGGTCAAGAGGGAATCGCTTCGTCAGCGTGAAATAAGAATTGGCGACGTCTGACGTGCAGAGAGATCCCTCGTGAGCGTTCATTGCTGAAAACTCAATAAAATTAATAGAATTAGTAATAATTGAATTAGTAGTAGTAGTAGAATTAGAAAAATTAGAATTATAAGGAACAACCCACATAGACAAAAAGATATCTTTTATTATTACTTACTAGGCAAGATATCTTTTATAAATATAAAAGATATCTTTTTGTTTATGTGAGTTGTTCCTTATAATTCTAATTTTTTTTAGGGATCTAAAAGATGTCTTATGCAACATTTAGAGATGTCTTTTAGAGATCTAGAGATATCTTAAAGATATCTTTAAGATATCTTTTATCGAATTTTTTTAAAGATATCTAAAAGATATCTTTTAGATATGCGGCAAAGATGTTTTAAATGCTTGAAAAACATCTAATAGATATCTTTTAGATATCTTGAAAATTGTATTTCAGATATCTTAAAAGGTAGTACATAGCATGACAATGTTAAATTTATTAATTGAAGATTGCTGTTTTCAACGCGCGCGCGCTGTGAACAACAATTTTTAATTAATAAATTTAACATTGTCATACTGTTTTTTTTTAATATAAAGAAATAAACACTTTTTTTTTCATTTTTTGAAAATATAATAAATTATATATTTACAAAAATACATTTAGTACATTCAAATTAATTACTTTCATGGTTAGTTACTTTCATGGTTTGCAGACAATTTTTAATACAATGATACAAACTGACTATTGAAATATTAATTTCCAAAATATAGGTTAATATTACCTCATATCTCATTTAAGTCTTTTATTCGTCTGATATAATATATAATCGAGTATGTGACTGTTCACTCGGTTTCTTGAACACGATACTTAACTGTCCTCGATAATAATTCGAATTCCTATCCGGGCCGAATGTCCGTTTCAAGATATCCAAAAATTTATTAACAGTAAGGTGCATTTCATCCTCTACCGCCAAATACGCGTGATGCGAAAGCTTATTTCTTAGCATTCGAACTAACAACGCTTCGTCGAGTTGCGGTATCGAGTCTTTTGCCCTCTTACAGGCACGCGCAAATTGCCAAACCGGAATGTTATGGCCATCGTACTTTGGCACTAATTATAATGCATCGCGGACGTATGATTTCGGGTAAGCGGAATAGGCGGTCGCGAAGGTAGCGTCCGGTACTGGACTCGAAGTCGCTTCCATTCTTGTAGTAATTCCCATAATCCCGTAAGATTAAGAGGCGGTGGCCCTTCAACCAGATTAGGCCCTACGTGAGTGGACGCCGCGAAATCCGGACCTTGAAGTCCTGCTAATACGTCTGCGACGGTTCGCATAGTATTTCTGAAAGTTTCCGCGCGCGCATTATGCTCTCTTGCTCTTGCCGATTTAATAGCCTGTTCATATTCTTTTTGCAGGTCATCGAGCAACCGCGAACTCGCGCGCCTCCCCCCGCGAAGGAAAATCATTTCTTTGCTCATCCATTACGGAGGACGAGATATTAAACAATCAAAGAGAAGCTACACGTCGACAACAGGCTATTAATATATTATATATTATTATAAATATGTTTAACATAATAGTTAATACTATACCGGCGTTGTACTTTTATTATAAAAATTTAAATTTTTTTTCAATATGAGTAAAAATAAGGGCAATGAGCCAAATACTGAACGTAAATTTTTCAAATTAAGTATAATATAAAATTTTAATTTTAATACAGACGTTTCGACTCCGATCGGGTCATCTTCAGTGTAACAGACATAAATAAATTATAAAAATTTCGGTGTCGCTAATCAATAGATAATGTCAGGAAATTATTCGCATCTTGAAATTTTAGTCCATCATGTAAAAGTTAATCCAATACAGTAAATTCAATCTAATAAAATTTATATAATTTGTCATAAGAATCTTAAATAGCATGTTAAACAAGTGTTAAAAGATAGTTACCTTGTTAAAAATTGTGTAATAACTAATGTCAATAATATAAAATTCCATAATGTAAAAAATGTAATATCGTCAATGATAAAATGTTATAACAATCCAATTTACAGCTTTATCGACTTCTTATATATGTTCATGTCAAGAAGAAGCACATTCTTTAAAAGAGGCAAAAACAAATGAAAACAGTCTAAGAGGTAGAGAAGGACTGTATCATATTTGTGTACATATCGGGCAATGACTCCGTATCGTTTTGTTTATTTATGCCATGTGTCTGTTTTTTAATATAAACCATTTCGGATATCAACCTCTTTTTGTAGGAAGGTCCCACATCTAATACTTCCACATTATTCTAATTAAAATTATGATTATTGTCTATTCGATGGTTAGTAACAACTGATGGAGACTTTGATACTTTATTAATATCCAAAATGTGTTCATTGAGTCTAGTTTTTAATTGCCTCTTAGTCTGTCCAACATAACTTGCATCACAATCACTACACGAAATTTTATATACAACATTACGATTTTGTGTATGTTCCAGTTTGTCTTTTCCTCTCTTAATGTGGCTTTTAAGTGTATTAGGAATAGTATACGCGAGTTTGCAGTTGATAGAATTAGCAATAGGTGTAAATTTTTCTGAAATTGATTTTACAAAAGGAACAGTAAAAAACTTTTTGATTATTAACGTTATTAATATTTAGATATTAACTTTTTGATTTTTTTTTTTTCAATTTAATATTTTATACTTTAGAAGACGGGTACCCAACGTCCGGCCCGCGGGCCAGATCCAGCCCGCACAGCCTTTCAATCCGGCCCGCACCCGCAACCGTATTCCAAAATATAATCGCACTGTTTGAATCAATTTATGTTTGCGAAGCTGTTTAATAAATAAGTAAATCTATGTTTGTCTCAAAAATAAATTATGTGAAAAACAAGTTTCGAAATCGTCTAACTGATCGTCATCTTGAGGATTGTTTGGTTGCTGCTACTACTAGTTACAACCTTGAGTTTACCAAGATGGCTAAAGTAGTAAATCGCAATTCTCACATTAGTTCTTAATTGGAAAAATATATAAAAATATTATAATTATATATATAAAAATATGTTTTTATATGTATTTAAATATGTATGTATTATTTAGTATGTATGTATACATGTATACATGTATTTTATATATATATTATTATATATTTATGATAAAGCTCAATAAGTATTAAACAATAATATAATGAAATAAGGGCAATGAGCTAATTTTCGTTAAAATCTTTAAGTCATATATTATTATATTTTTTAATATGTATGTATTTATATATGTTTTTATATGTATATAAATATATGTTTTTATATGTATTTAATGTTTTTTTATATGTTTATATATATTAACAGGGAATGGAAGTAACTCGTTACTTGTAACGAAGTTACAGTTACAAGTTACTTTTTTAGTAACTTTACTGGTAACTGCGTTATTTTCTTTTTTTGGTAACTGTAACGGTAACGAGTTACATTTTTTGGGTAACGGTAACGAAACTTACAGTTACTTTTGTCGTTACTTTGCACACGATTGAACACGGTTCGATTGGATACATACTATTTATAGCGCTTATCAATAAGACTTGAAAGTCCTTAGACATTCGGCTGTCATGATTCAGTAATTATTTTACACTTCTATCTTCTATGTAATACATAGGACATACAAATATTTCAGTTTGCTGCATATTTTACAGGTTTTAGAATTACAAAATTGTGTTTAAAAAAAATTAAAAAGTAAATTA